CAGAGACTTTCCAAAAAAGGGGAAATGATCTCAATTACTAAACCAGGCATTTAACCATCCTACTTGGTCTTATTCAGCGAGCTGTTGTTTCTTGTGACAATGGCTCAAAGTAGCCTTAGATCCACAGCCTAAAAAAAGAGTTAATAATGATTAATAAGGAGTTTATTATATGGAATTCATGTGAAGATGACTATATTAGGACAAACTTGTTTTAGACAATTTGTGTATGAGCTTAAACTTAGTAATAGCCTTCATTTTTAAGAACTTAATATACTTATAAACCCAAACAAGCAGCAATTAGGATTTTAAATCTTTTAATAGTCTGTAGATCCCTAGATTGACCATTTTCACATTTTTTTAAAGCTGCATTTAAAAATTAGCTGTATCTTTTAAGCATCTGAGTAAATGTTTAGTTGAAAATAAATAACCTACAGAAGAAAAGGAAACAGTGTAGTAGGCATGCTATCCTACTAGGCAAAAAACACCAACAAACAAAACTTGTTTAGATGTATGCAACTTGTAAGCTGGGGCAATTCTGTCCATGCATACTGTGCTACAGGAAATGTCATCTTTATGGTGAGGCTTAACATAAATGTTTCAAAGAAATTCTGTGCAACTACACATTTTACTGCTTATCTGTGATTTTTCTTAGCTTCTCTATTTACTGATAGGCTCCTCCTATCCACTCCTTCATTCCACCCTCCACCCTTAGCCATCTACTACCCTTGGTCTGTCCCCTGAGGAGCCCCAGGCCACACTATGGTGCCTTATTCTGATCTCCCCTCTCCAGTAGTGACCATCCTGCCAATTTACCCTACTCATTTTTTTCCTTTAACATTATCCAATCAAAGGAGGTCCTATCTTGTGTCCCTTATTCCTTTGTCCCATGTGTTCCTCTTAGTTGATTACTTACTTCTTTCTAAACTTTCAGTGAATGCCTATCTCCCATCAGATGGCATAGCCATAGCATAGTCCTTTATCCTAAAATATATATTGCTGTAGAAATTTTACACATTGTGGCAGTTGTGTGAGTCTAGTCTTTACTCCCTCAAATCTCTCCCTAAAAATGTTCTGTGATTTCTTATATTTTTCATCACGTCTTGCTTTAAAACAAAAAACTTCAATAGACTTAGTATTCTCAGGGTAAAACTACAACTCCTCAAACTTTTATGGACTGAAGCAATTCATTTGTAGCTTCTATCTCTACAAATCCCAGAAATAACCTAAATAAGATTTAGTAGAATATTTTATCATATTATGTCCTGTTTAAAGGACCTCATCACTCCTAATGCCCTCAGAATCAAGCTCCATCCCTTCATAGCTTTTCAAAGTCCTTCAACATCTGGTGTCACTTGAACATTCTAACATTATTTTCCAAACTCTCCCAGTCCAACTGTGTCTTGGCCAGTTGGTATTCTCTTTCCTTTTATCTGAAATGTCCTTCCTTTAACTTCTCCTCCTTTCCAAATTTCCATCATACTTTAAGGCATAGCTTCAATCCCATCTCTTGATTAAGCTTTACCTGAATAATTGGTTCACACTAATTTCACCTCTAAGCAATTCTGCTTTTCTCATCTTTTTAATTGAATCAAATAGTATCTTTAATTTTTATAAAATCATTCCATAACTAGAGTAGTGTATTTGCAATGTGACCACATCCAAGCCAAAATAAACCTAAGATGTGATTCCACAAGGGAACCTGATGCCTGAACACCAAGATGCCAGCTCAGGAAAGAATCATAAGATATTGAGGGTCTTTAACTTGGGATTTCATGAGAATGTTAAAACTATTGCTTAGAGTGCATGAAACCAATCCTATAATTAGAAATGCAAAGTTTATGTATTTAAAATATCAATATAGGTACAATAAAGCATAGGCCATTCAACAGCCTCTGATTTCATTCTCAAGTCTTATGTATGTGGAAATAATCCTTACCTATATCCTACCGTGGGTGGGGCACTCAGCTGATGCATTTTCCCCTTTGAGTCACATCTCCTTTGGTCTCCATGGCATGACCATTCTTGTTTCTTGGCTCTTATTACTAACTGTAAGTAGTTCTTAGTCTCCTTTAGTGTTACTCCAGAAATGGCCTTTTTAGGGCTGAGTTCTGCCTTTCCATCCTGTGTGTGGATAGTCTGCATGCCTTGTGTGGGGATTAGAATTCTCTGACTCTGGCAGCTGTGTTCTTTCTGTGCTGTATGGCTGGAAAACATCTTAAAGCCACTTGTGGGAAGAACAGCTTTTGAAAAATATGGGTTTTAAAGTCAGACTGATTTCTAAGTCTAAATTTCCTGCAAAAGAGGATAATAAACAATATAACATCTCCCTCAGTTTTAAGGTTACTTCCTTGTACCACCTTACCCACTAACCACACTAAGTCAGCTTACTTTGTTTTAAAATGTCTTGGAATTTTGTTCCTTCTCTTTTGAATACTTATCTGAATACTTATACAGAATACCACAGAATAGTAGGTATTAGAGTTTAGGAATGATTAGTTTATCAGTATATTTCTTCCCTACCACAATGTAAGTTCCACTAGAGCAGAGGCTATACCTGACGTAGTTCACGATTATATTTCCAGCCTCCAGCACTGGCCCAGCTCCTCAAATATTTGTTGAATGGGTGGATATCTTATAAGGTTGGTGAAGAAGGAAAGGAGGTAAAGTGTATAAAACACTGTATAAATACTTACAGATATGTGTGTGTGTGTGTTTATCAGTACATAGAGTGTTATGGTTAGCACATCGTAAGTATTTGGTAAATGTTAACGTTTATTTTTTTTACTCTTGCTTGAAATCTGAACTGAAAATGGCCCTCTTTCTTGTATAGCAACATGGACACTTCTTGTATTATGTCATTGACCCTCTCCAACTAAAAGTAGCTGGATTGATCTGAATGTTTATTTACATCTTTTCTACTCAAGCACCTGGCTAGACCCACAGAGCTGGGAGCATTACCTCACAGTGCTTTCAATCTCCCAATACTCAGTTCACTCATTACACATTTGGTGATTTAACTCACAGAATTGCCAAGATCACATTTGCAAGCAGGTCTTCTAAAACTGCCCACCTCTCCACAGACTAACCAGAATGGCCTCAGGGAAGAGAACAGACTAGTAGAAGGCTACACATGTTAGCAAAAATAACTGCATAGTGCACACTGCAAGTTTCAACGATGTTAAATTTCCATTTGACTAATGTTTTGCTTAGAAACTTAACAGGAACTTTAGCAACAGGACAGAATATAACATTGTAAATCAACTATACTTCAATAAAATAAGTAGATAAATAAAAATAAGTAAATGGCTAAATTAAACTTAGATTTATACCTAGGCAATTGGGAGAATCTGACATTTTATGTGCCAGCACATAGGTGCTCAATAAATAACTACTGAATGAATTTGGGGAGGGGAGAAAGCATGTCTCAGTGGCTCTTGGCATTAATTGCCTCCCCCTACAGATACTATAAATCCCATTCCTGTCTTTGAGCAGGGATTTAAAAACAAGACTCTAGTAAAAGCAGGCATATCTTCACAATCAGGACAAGCTTTTGCTTTACTCCACATAGTTATAAAAAAGGGGGGGGGGGACAAAGTTCCCCAAACTTCTAGATGGGAAATGGTGGTTTCTGTACTGTAGGAGTGCAGACCGGCCTCATGGTTCCTGAGGGTGAGATGTGTAAACTCCTCTTCCTCCCCATGTTCTTGGCTGGAGACACGCTAAGGGTAAGTTTGTGGAAATGTAAGGAGAAGGCGATTTCAGTATCTTCGTGTAGAGAGACGCTAATGAGGAAGTCAGGCAGTAAAGGCCAGCAATAGGGAAAGGGAATCCAGCTTAACTTGTAGTCGGGACTGTTAAAAAAAAAAAAAAAAAAAAAAGGAGGCGGGAATAAAAGAAGTAGGAAAAATTGGGAGGAGGAGAGAGACTAGAGAAGGAAAACCAGAAGAGGAAGGAAGGAGTGTTATCTACGCAATTTGTTGTTTCTCCTGCTCTTCCTCTCTCACTCCCTCCAGAAGCTAGAAAAAGTTTGCATGCACAGCATTCGGAATGGGAGAGCGGGCTCTTGATTTGCAGACCCGTGAGAAGAAGCGCCCACTTCACCCTTCCCCGTTCCCGCCGCCGTTTTCCCCCTCTCCGGAGGATGGAGGGCAGTCCTCGAGACCCAGGGAAGCGGTAGCCCAGGCGGATGCCCCTGGATCCAGTAGGGCTCAAGCAGCGGGCAGCTCTCTCTCCGGCAAAACCTCCCCTCCCTCCTCCCTCCTCCTCCCGAAAAGGAAAAAGATCGAACCTCTAAACCGGCTTTACCCCTCCCCCTCTTCCTGGGGGAGCTAAAGCAGAGAGTACAGTTGTGTGATTCACTGGAGAGAAAAGAGGGTGGAGGCAGCAAAGAACTCCGAGTGCCAAAACTAAGTAAGTTCTCTGACAAAACGCACGCAGCTTGCGGCGCCTCCGCCGGGCCACCAACCCAGGGAGACCAAGTGGGCTTGGCGTGGAGCGTGCACGGGGTCAGGGACCCACTTCGGTCCCCGTGCGCTCCAGCAGCGGAGAGAAGGAACCGCTGCCCGAAGTTCCCGCGGAGAAGAGGTGGTCAGCGGTGGAGGGAGATCAGTAAAACGGGCTGTTTTTGTCATTTCGCCGCCTGGTGAGTGTCGGGGAGATTGGCAAACGCCTCGGAGAAGACCGAGAGAAATAGCTCTGGAAAAGTGGAGAGAGTGATCCGGCGGCCGGTTCACTGCATGCTGCTTGTTATCTGCATGGGTAAGAGCTCTTTTTTGGCGGTTCCACTTCCCAGTACTTTCCAGGTGACGGGACTGCCGGACCTACGGTCGACCCCGCAACCAACGGTGCGCGCGCCCCCGGGAGAACCTCACTCCTCCACCTCGAGGGCGAAAAGTTATGGCCACGAAAAGTTCCTGCCCAAGGTGATTATCAATTCCTTACTTGATTTTTTTTTCCTCTTGAGAACTTTTGGGTGGAGGCATTAACTTTTTGTGTGGAAGCTACTTTGGGGAGCGAGGAGGAGGAGGAAAAAGTGCGATTTGATGGAGCAAAGCGACTCCTTGGTCTCCGACGCGTCCTATCCTCTAAGCCACCACGTATAGAAGATTAAAGTTGTTGGACGTGTTGACAGCTGAGAGGAGCACGGACTTCTTTCCAGTTGGAGACCCTCCACCTCCACCGCCTGTTGGTTCTACCCCTCCTGCGTACATGTGTGCGCCAGCGGCGGCGCGCGGTGCGTTGTTCTGCCTTGGAGTTTCAGCCGGGACCAGAGTGAATGGCCCCCAGGGGCTGCGCGGGACCTCCGCCGCCGCCACTTCCTCCGCAGGCCTGGGTCTGGCCCGGAAAGATGCTAGCCATGGGGGTGCTGGCAGGCTTCTGGGTCCTCAGCCTCCTCACCTACGGTTACCTGTCCTGGGGCCAGGGCTTGGAGGAGGAAGAGGAAGGGGCTTTGCGACCTCAAACTGGAGAGAGACCGGAGCCCAGCATAACTACCATCTCCCAGCCCCATCTCATTTTCATCCTAGCGGATGATCAGGGATTTAGAGATGTGGGTTACCACGGATCGGAGATAAAGACTCCCACTCTTGACAAGCTTGCTGCCGAAGGAGTTAAACTGGAGAACTACTATGTCCAGCCTATTTGCACACCGTCCAGGAGTCAGTTTATTACTGGAAAGTAAGTGTTACTCCTTCATATATTTATTCCTCGGAGATATATTAAGCACTTAATTATGATCCAGCTCCTAACTTACTGGAGTTGCAGAAGATATGGGGAACTAAATGTATGAATGAGTGAATGAATGAATGGATCAAATGCATTTAGTTGTGGTGGGAATTAAAATGGATGTCCAGTTGATGATCTTGAAAGTCTCATCACTAGTTTAGTCTCATTTTTCTTACTCTCAGAGCCTGCTGTGAAGGGCCTTCAGAGTTTTAAAATGAGATCAGGACTTGTAAACTCCTACCTACCAACCAGAGGTCTCCAGAAGTGTTCTCCTTTTCTAAATCTATTTTGGCTTTTGAGCATGTTCAGATTTTGTTTCAGGTGTCACAGTAGAATTCACAGTCACCATCATTGATAAGGAAAACAGACCAAATTTTTTCTGGACTCTTGGTTTATTCTTCTTTTTTTTTTTTAATTTTATTTATTTTTGGCTGCGTTGGGTCTTTGTTGCTGTGCATGGGCTTTCTCTAGTTGCAGTGAGCAGGGGCTACTCTTGGTTGCAGTGCGCGGGCTTCTCATTGGGGTGGCTTCTCTTGTTGCAGAGCATTGGCTCTAAGCGCGTGAGCTTCATTAGTTGTGGCACATGGGCTTCAGTAGTTATGGCTTGCAGGCTCTAGAGCGCAGGCTCAGTAGTTGTGGTGCATGGGCTTAGTTGCTCCACGGCATGTGGATCTTCCCGGGCCAGGGCTCAAACCTGTGTCCCCTGCGTTGGCAGGCGGATTCTTAACCACTGTGCCACCAGGGAAGTCCCTCTTGGTTTATTCTTAAATCTGGGACTGAATAATCAAAGCCACAGGTAATCACAGAAGAGGGGCCAAAGAAACGTATGGAAGGCAGTGTAAAATCTGACCAGTGTACATGTGACTCTATTTGGGTCTTTGATAAGTAATTTTCTCTCACAGGATCACTAAGGAAGGCAATGTGTAATTACCAGGGTAGTTCTCAAAATGGGAGAAGATAACAGTTGTAAATGCTCAGCATGAGTTAAACTTCATCTGAAGTTTTCTGCTGCTCCTCACACATCTGGGAATTTTCTGATTAACTCTAAGAAAAAGCAGATTATTAGGATACTTAAGTAAGTGTTTTTAGTATTATCGTTGCTTTGCTAAACTGCTAAATATTCTACTTAGGGTGTTCACTCATTTTCATATTTTTACTCTATCCTGTCAGAATGTAGGTTACTATAACTGATTTGCATGTCCAAATTCAGCCTGTGGAACTGAGATAAACTAGGAGACGCAGAGGTCCAGCTGCCACTGGACAGAGGTAGAAGAAAAGCCTTATGGTTTCAGTGTATGAGTCTTGTGATTTCAGTTCCAGGGGACCCTTGCTTCAGTGAAGTTGTTCTTGGAATTGGATCCTATAAGAGTAGCCAGTATCCATTGGAAAAATAAAGACTATTTTGTAGTAATCTCTGTCTTGCAGAGACTTTTGCTTAATATATGATTTCTACTGCTTAGCAAACTGTCACAAGTTAGCATCACTGCCAGAAAAGAAAAAAAAACAGTCCTTTCCTCTCTTCAGTGGGAGAGTAAAGAAGACTCACTGTACTTCAGAGTCATTTTAAAGGTTAACTGTGGCATCAGAAAGTCAAGGGCATTTGGTATTTATAAAGGAGAAGATTGTTGGCTGGAAAATAACAAGTCCATTTGATGGCCTGTGGGTCAAGTTCTTCATGTCTAATCCAAACACTCTTATATTTGGTTTATGAAATAAATGGTCATAAAGA